TTTTTAAATTTGAGACATGGACAAGAATGCTTGTACACTTTACTAAAGTATAACTACATTTACTTAAGAAATTTTTTTTGTTTAATCTAACAAAATAAGTATCTTTTAAACTGCTTTCTGTATTTTCCATTTCAAAGATGGGTTTCAAAATTTGCACATTTTTGCAAAGATCCCCCTCATTCTCTTAATAATAAATATTTTGAGTTATTTTCTTTTCTTTGATATAAAAGTAGTGTAAGCTTTTGTTTAATTGTTTCACATCAACGGTAAACTTTATAATTGATTACAGGAAACTATATCAAATGTTGCCCCCTACAGATGGGGTAATTATTGATCACTGGGGTAATTCCTGATCATTGTAATTTCTTCTTATAAATAGTATATAAAATAGCTTTAAATAGCTAATTGTCTTTTCTTAAATAACAGTTCATATTTATTAAGTGGAATTTTTGTTTTGAACAAAATTTGTTTTTAACTGTATACAAGACTGTATTCTGATTTGCACCATTTCTGGTTTGTCTTACCTTGCTTCTATCTTAATTTTATGTGTGTACATTGTTAGAATAATTTTTAAGTTTATAAATAAGCCTCGTATAATTGTTAGAATAATTTTTAACTTTATAAATTAGCCTAGTATAAATATGGTGAGAAATTATAAGCCTAAAAAGGATACTAAGCTTCTAGAAAACAAAATGAGTGAATTTCTTTTAATGATTGAAAATTAAAATTTCAGTGTAGAGAGCTGCTGCCAGAGCTGTTGGCATACCTTACTTAACTTTACACTTTCCCTTAATGAAGTTAAAAAATCCAGCAAAAGTAACCCATGTGGGAACTCTCTTATATTTCAGAAGAACATGAGAATGAGTTGGCTGATTGCCTAAAATGTATGGCACGATGTAAAGATTTTTGAAAATCTAAAGCGTTAATCGTTCTTCTTGCTTTCAAATAAATCGTTTTATTAGCTGCTTAAACACATCTTTTTGGTTTATTTTTTGATTTTGATGTCTTATTTGTTAGTTACCATTATATAATTATTTTCAAACAGCCCCTTTACAATAAAACTGGTGATCAGTAATTACCCCAGAAGTGATCAGGAATTACTCCAGAAATGATCAAGACCAGGGGTAATTCCTGATCACTAAAAATTTAAAATCTTTTAAATACTAATTAGATTTTCAAACAAAAGAAGTTGGAATAGGACTCATCTCATATAGCCTCAAACTTCCAGTAAATATTAAAATTCTATTTTGAATAGTTTTTTCATAAAATAGATGTTTGCGTTTTTTTGATCAGGAATTGCCCCAGGTCACCCTAACTATTTAAAAACTTGAGTATCTCAAGCAAGCTTTATTGATTTAACACTTTTAAGCTCAATTTCAAATACTTATGTTTATTTTGATAACATTAAAAATAGTTCAAACTAAAAGCAATTAATTTGCTGGTTCTTTAAAAGAAGGCTTTTGGTCTTGAATAACTGAATCAATTTTTAGAAATTCTAACAGGAAACTAAAAGCATCTCGCTGACTTTTTTTTAGATAGTTTTCACTACAAAAATATTTTTTAATCTTGCAAACATTGGGAAAAAAAAAAAAAAACAGTTTACATCAGTTATTGATTTAATCATTCTTCTTTAATCAAAGAAGATAATTCTTAAATAATTTTTTTAATAAAATAATTTGAGTTTCAACAACTTAAAAATAAAAACCCAGGCAGAATTGAATTTTTAAAGAAATAAATTTTTAATAAGTGTAGTGTTTTCGAGTAAGACATCCTTTGCCCCCTATTAGAAGTTTTTCTTGGCTACCTACAATGTAACAAAATAGTATCTGGCAGAAAAAAAATCAATAGTGTAAAACACATAATAGGATACTTACATAAAAAGCAGTAAGTGAAAAGAATAAAGTGCCTGCTACCAAAACAAAGTTATTTCCAACTTGACGTCGGCTATACCCACTTTGAAAAGATTCTGTAGGTATAACATCATTTAGTGTTGGTTTACGTATGGAAGGACTATGCTCAGACATGCAACGCTTGTTAGGTCCTACAAGAAAAAATAATAAACTACTGAAAATTCAGCCCACAAAAGTTTCACAATCAAAAAAAAAAAATCTAACTTTTTATAAAAATTAATTTCAAAGAAAAGAAATATAGCAAGTGTTATATAAAATATGGTAACATCAAGAGTGAAAAATAAATCATAAAATATTAGAGGTAAAAAAGCCACAGGTATTGCGGAATTACTCTTAATGCTTTAGCACCTATTAACATTAACTGTTTTAAGCTCTGCATTGATGTAAAATTCAATTTTCACTGTACCATAGACTCATGAAAAAAAAAATTTCTGTTTGATTTTAATTTCTTAAAATGTTAAGAAGTCAAAAAATTAAATCATGTGCTTCAAATATTTTCAGTTTCAAATTTATTGAATGTTTAGATAATATTTTGTAATGAATAATTTTAAATCTAGGATAAAAATTTTATAAATATGGAGTCCTAAAGAAATCAGTGCTGGTAATAAATATAGGGCAAATATACTGAGACAAACACTATCAGTCATATTAGTGAGTTTAAGAGTAATTTGCAAACTTGAAAAACAGCAAATTTCATTTAACAGCTGGTGCCAGAAAAAGGGTTGTATAGTTTGGTTACAAAACCTGACATCACCCAGGCATGAAAGTGGTCGAAATTAAAAAAAAAGCTCAACTTTTACAAAGCAGGAAGGGGGGGGGGGNAGGGGGGGGGGGAGTGTTCCATATAATACTGTGAAGTCGAGGAGATATACATAAAAGCAACTTTTAACGCAACTTTTTTAAATTTAGTATTTAAAGTGACAGAAGCATTTAGACAGTGAAATAAAAATTTTTTTAATATAATTTTAAATTTTGATCACTACTATATTAAAGAAAATTAAGCAATTATAGGAAAATGCAGCATAATTATCATTTTAAATTAATTACGGGTCAATCATTTTAAATTAAAACAGTTGCCAACTTTCACTTTAATATTTTCTGATAGATTATTACTGACAATTGCAGTCACTTTGACCAATCAAACTTGAATTTATTTTTTTCGGTAGTGGGTAGCATCAACTGTACGCACTTTGGGTTCGCCTTTTAAATGGACTACCATCGTTATAATAGATTCATGTTACTCATAGCTGCAAGCTTGTTTTTAAAATCGCACAATACGAATCGCAATATTGGTTTTTAAAATCACGTGAATAAGAATCGGGATGTTGGATTTTAAGAATCGTGAGAATAAGAATCGCAATGTTAGATTTTAAAATCGGGTGAATAAGAATCACGATATTGGGTTTTAAAAGCACGAAAATACGCATTGCGATATTGAATTTTTAAATCGCGTAAATAAGAATCACGATGCCTAATTTTTAGATATTTATACTTTCAATACTTATCGCAACGAATAATTTTTAAATCTCATATAAATACGAAAATCGATGTTTGATATTACAATCGCGTGATAACGAGTTGCAATATTGAATACGAATTGCGACACTGGATTTTTAAATTGCGTGAATGGAATGGGAATTGCGAGTACGATTTTTAAATCACATAAAAACAAATTGCAACAAGTACTTTTAAATCAGTTAAATACGAAAATCGATGATTTGCATGAAAATAGTCTGAATAAGAATTGCAATTTTAGCAGTTTCCGGAGCTCGGCGCAGTTCCTAATATTCAAAATTCTGAAAATCAGCCAAACAAAAGAAATCAAATATCAATGGCCGAAACGGAACTACTTAGAACTCTTTTTCCAATCTATAGCGGAAGTCGCAGTTGTCAGGAGGCTACTGCCAGGGGGGGGGGAGTCCGTCTCCAGTTTGACTATTGTTTAGGCTGCTTGGATTTCTCGTATTGGACTCCGCTAAAATTTAAGTTTTTGGAACATGGTCAGAAATTTATAAAATTGGGAGAAAAAAGCGGATTTCCGCTTTTTCGCGGAAATCTTTCATCCCTGAGCACCAAAAAATAACTTTTTGCAGAGAAGGTTAATTTTCTGTCACTCTTAGTCAAAATGACATAAAAACCAAAACATAGTTTTAAATTTTTATTTCTGTCAAAACTAAATAGCTTAAAAATTCTATACTGAATCTGGAAAATTTTTTTTTCTAAGTCAAATCCCCCTACTAATCTTGAAGATACTGGAGCAAGGAAATCAGCATCCCACCAAGCTTCCATGAGGAAAATGATGTAGACATTTTACAAAATTAAACTCAAAATCGACTTCATTTTTGAACAAAATGACAATTTTATTTTGACTATAGATCCATATGAAGTAATACCGTACTCTTTGAAGCACAGTTTGTATCTAACTTGAATCATTAAAAACTTAATTAACAAGTAAAATATAAGCTTGCAATCTTGTTGATCATCTAGTAAAAAAAATAATAAACAGAGATATGAAACTTTAGGGTAGAACCAATTTTTTATACATTATTTTTACATATACGAAATACCTATGACGTTATATGTTATCTTAAAAGATTGTTTAATTTTTGTAAGAAAGGTCGAAGTAAAAAAAAATAACGTATACTTACTGAGCAATTTAATCGCTTTTGTGTTGAACAAAATTTTCGTCAACATATCTTATATTAGTTTTTTTTAAACAATTAATTTAAACTGTAAATATAAATAACTCAATGTTGGTAAGCACAGAGAAAATTTTTTATATGGAGTTGAGTTGTAAGAAGCAAGTTGTTGCCGGCAATTAGAAAACATATAAATTTAAATTAAATTTTATAAGCGTATTATTTTCTTTTCCTTAAAGAATATGCTTTTATAAATTTTTCAAAACACATATATACCTTAAAATATGAATTCTGAAACTATTGATAAAAAAAATTATTTTGCAATTCCTATTTCTTCCAAAATTAACTAAAAACCTGTGATTTATTCTTGATAAATAATTATATTAAAATACGATATTATTTAAGACCATTTCATTTTGATTTACATGTTGAAAGTAAATTTTTAACTTCAATTTTTCGAAGTAGTAGTAAAAAAGGGCAGCCTCCCATGCAGCAGACCTTCTGCTTTTCTTTACGAGTTTCAGTTTCAAAGCGTTCAGTGAGCGTTGTTATTCGCATTAGTGACAAATGTTTTTCATGTCAAAACAAACTTCATTTGGGTAGGTAAATTTACTTTTGTGCATATGGAAATCATGTTCCTAAAAACAACCATTCGCCGATAGCATTATAAAGCCTGTAAGTTTTTGAATTAATGTTTTCGCGAATCGGTATATTATAAGTTGAATTTTCTGTCTTCATATAACTTTATATTTGTATGTAAAAATGTTGTGTTAATCGAATGAAATGACTATCATAAATCTATTTAGTAATAACGTTATGAGATGTTCTTATATGTTACTTAATAGGTAATGTTCTAGAAAGTACTAATAATTCCATAGATCTCGTCATTTGTTCTCTGATTACCATTTGCTATGAAAGTTTTCTATTTTTAATATGTTTGTTTTATTTTTCTTACATATTTACTCATTGTGTTATGATTCTTTCCTTTTTCGCATATTTTTTTTAAATTTTATTTAATTAATCGATATTGCTAGCTTTATGAAAAATCGCATGCTATAAATCAACATAGTATCTTAGTACACATTAACTTTTTCAAATTACGCAAAGCATAGATTAAAATTATGAAATAATTTAGTTGCTGGAGATTAAAAACAAAATTTAAATTTACTGTACTTGTTATATTTGTGTGAATATTATGTATATTTGAAAAATTCTCTCTTTACTATTCAAAATATTCATCTATCACATTAGGTACTATAGATTAAATTATGCATTCTTTAAGCTTATGTGAACACACCAGTTTAATATGCAATCGTTTGATTAGAATCGCAAACTATTTTAGCTAAATTTTTAAAAATAACTAGTTGATTTAAGGGTGTTAGATCTTCTGTATTTAGACTAGATAGTTTTCCTAAAAATTACAGTGTTTCTTTGTTATTGTCTTTAGTCTTGTAAGGAAGATTTGCATGACTAAAAAGGAAATTATGTATTTTATCTGATAAATTAAGTAGCTAGAAAAACCTTAGTTGGATTCAGTTGATTATACTTATGTATTCATAACTCAGAAAAATTTGTTGATGTGTGTATATTGTTCTTTGCAAAATATTTTTTGAGGATGGGGATTATTTTTTTAAGGTCCATATTTGGTGTTTTATTTAAGAACAACACAGAAATAACTTTGTTGCATTTTCTCACTTCAAATCTTATCTTTTAAAATGTGTTCTTTCTTTCTCCTTGCCTTCCGTTCTTCCTTCCTCTTTTTTCTGGTCATATTCAAAATCTTATTTGTACTGAATTTGGGGCTTTAAGTGGAAGCTATTTAATAAATTCAAAATGTACATTAAAACGTAACATAAGTCAAGTTTGATTTTTATTGCTTGGCCACTTTCCTAATCTATCATTATTTGTTGAAATACACATTTATAAGAAATCTGTAAAAAAAATATGTGTTGCATCTTTTCTATTGTTTTTGGAAATACCTTATTAATGCATAGGCACAAGTAAGCTTCGAAAATTTGTAAATCATTATTTGGTGAAATGTGTTAAGTAACAAGAAAAATTTTGGTGAAAAAAAATATGTTGTTCTTTGTTAAGCAATACTCTATTAAGGTTAAAATGATCTTCATTTATGAAGCTCTTTTTTACTTAACAAAAAATAGCTGTTTTGCTGCGAATTCCAATTTCGGATTTTTTTTTTCTTGCAACTGAATTTGGTAAATAAAATAGGAGTTTTTTTCAAAAGGTATATTAAAATCATATAAAATGCTCAGTTGTTTTGCCACTCTTTCGAAACTGTAATTAGATTATAAATGTTTTAACAAATTACTTATTAAAATCTAAATTGAACAAAAAGTTATTGATCAATTGTAAATTTTTATTAGTTAATATCAATGTGGAAACCTATATGTTTTTTTAATCAGGTTTTTTGCTGTGTAATATTAGGTATATACATATTATTATTATGCCGACCATTTTTGACAACACTGTGCCGAAATCATTTTTCTATTTCCCAAATTTACTTTTATATAGTAATTGATTATAAAGAAAAAGACAAAATATAAATTATTGCATGTAAAAAATAAGAAAATATTTAAATTTGAACCACTTTTTCCAAATTTATTTTCATTTTTGGCAGAAATGGTCTATTGGATAATACATAAGTACTTAACAAAGAAATAATAGACCAAATTTTTTTTTTCTTTGACTGTCCATTTACTTGAGTAGTTACATTTATCCTACTTTTACTTAGAGCAATAAATTTTTTTTTTCAAAATAAAAGTAATAAAAATTATAATTTTTTTAGAAATCACAATAAAGATTATTGTGATTTTTTAAATGAATTAAAGTATTGTAGCAAATTTTTATTTTAAGAAAAACTGTATGAATGTTTGTAACATTGTTGCTAGTAAATCAGTAGTTTCTTATTTTAACTAAAAGTAGAAACTTCACAATAAGTTTTTATCTTGGAATTAATTGCACATAAGTATCAGAAAAAATACTTAATACTCTACAAAAAAAGATGCATAACTTATAACTTTATTTGTGAAAAATTTTCATTTCATTTCTGTAGTGACTATCTAAAATTGTCGCTGCAGTTTATACTGTAATTCACACAGGTTCCCTCTTATAACTTAGTAATTTTTTCTTCTAGATGATCATGATTCATATGATGAAACATTACACATAGTGTGAGATACACATCTTTTCAGGTACTTTTTTAATTATTGTACTGAATAAAAAAAATGCATTTATGTATCTTGTTTGCATTTTTAAATTGAAAGTATTTTTATTTTGTGAATTTTATTTTTTACAAAGAATAAGGCTATGTATATAGTTTAGTTCGTGGTCTATACAATATTTCATTTCAAATCTTAATAAATTTTACATAATTCTCACCAATAAATGTTATTAAAAATGCATGTTTTTTGTTATTTTATTAAAATTTATTTATATCGTGTTTAATATAGTTTGTGATAAGTAAGATTTAAGTAAGAAGTTTGATTTTAATTTTTATTACTTAAAGAGCTTACTATAAATCTTAAATAGTCCCACATATAATTTTCTGCATATTTTGGTTATAATCCTTGCAAGAGTGCCAATGTGGACACAGGTTTAAGGTGCCAACATATGTTTTATTGCCTGAAAAAAGAAAAACTGATTTGTTATGCGTCTGCACCCATTTTTGGAAATTTTTTTTCCTCTCCATCATAGGCGATAATGAATGCCGATGTGATGTTTGGATTGCACTCTTGTTTGAAGGGATAAATGTGTTGTGATGATTTGGAGTGAGGGTGAAACAAGCTAAGGTTTTGACTTAATACTTTCATTTCTTTTTTTTCTTTTAAGTTTTAATAATGTAATGAAATCAATAATTTCATTACACTGATTTTTTTAAAATGTGCGGAATTGCCCAATTGTTTTGATTAGTATTTGATTATCATGTTAACTTTGAAGCAATATGCATGCCCAAAATCTTGAACCATGTTTATTTTAAGTTTAAATATGATTGCACATATATTTATTAGGGAGGAATCCTTTATACTGCTATTTTTGTGAAGATGAAAGAATTTTTTTAATTTATCTTCAAATAAATAAATCTTGGATAAATATGCTTAAACTAATTTTAACATGATGCACAAAATCTTAGTGCATGGGTGTAAGACTATAATTTTTAGTTAGGGGCCTTTTGTTTTGAATAGTGTCTGGGAATTATGACTTCTCTGCTTTGTGAAGAAAGTAATATTTGTTGCTTGTGAAAAAATTTAATATACCCGTGGAAACAATTTTAAAAGTAAAATGCATTTATTATTACTGTTCATCTGCTAAAATGTGGATTTAAGACTGATATAATTTTAAGGTTTTTGATGGAAAGAAATAGACCTACACATTTTATATATTAGTAACTTTAATGTGTTAGTATTTTATGTGCTTGTTATTGTGTCTTTTTTTATTACATGCATGATTAGTGTTGTCAAAAACAGTGATACATGCCCATCAAGTTTCCTGTTTTTTAATGAAGACTCCCATATTTTATGAGTATCTCCCTTTTACCCGTACATTCTCAAATGTCTCCGTTTTTTTCACTTTTTTTAAAAAGAAATTTAAAAAAAAAATTCGACAGCAAATCCAGCAATTCATTTCTATAATTTTCATTTTTGCTATGTATTTTAAGGTGTAAAGTTGATAAACTAATTAAAAGTAGCAATCCTGATCCTGTGTTGCCATTAAAAATAAAATAATTAACGTTAACAAACTCAATCAATTAATGTCAATCAATCATTTAGTTAAAATCGTCATTTCACTCAAATTAAATAAAATAATTAATATAATAGAAAAAAATTTATATGATTATTCAGAGAAAGCAAGTTTTTGCTAATTCCATAACTTAATAATTATAGTGTTTGAAAAATGTATAATATATATTATATATATATAATATATATATATTATACAGTACAGAACCCGTTATCCGGAAATCAGAAAACCGGAAAACCAAAAAACCGGAACGAAATTCGCTAAATTTTCTCGCCATTTAAAAATTCCTCATAAGATTTTACGATTTTTCTTTCTTTTTTTAAAGATGTTTACCTTACCATCATTTTGCAAATAATCATTAGTGTATTACTTCATCATTTTTTTTTATTTTTAAGATTATTTCCAAATATTATTTTTTTTAGTTGGGTTTAACAATAAAAAAAACGGCTTTTTGTAGCAATTCAGAAAACCGGAAAAACCAGTTATCCGGAATAGCGATGGTCCCGATCGTTCCGGATAATCGGTTCCCTACTGTATATAAACTCCTGTTTGTGAAAATTGCAACACCATGAAGGAATCGTCGTAATTGAATGAAATTTAATACACAGTTGAGTGGTAGTGGTACAAATAAATGATTAAACTTTCAAAGCAAACAACCAATAACAAGAGATCGAAATCAGTATTTTGTGTAACCACCGCGGTCCGCAATAAGTGCTGCTACACGACATGGCATGGAGTCAAGCAAACTTTGAATGTCTGTCTGAGGAAGGGAATTCAATACTGTTTGTATGCGTACCCAAAGTTTGTCTGTAGAAGCAACAGGACGAGGATTACGAGCGAGACGCCGACCAACGAAATCCCACACATGTTCAATCGGCGACATATCCGGGGAATACGCCGGCCAAGGAAGAAGTTGTACCTGTCGCGATGCAAGGAAGGATTGAACAGTCCTAGCAATATGAGGGCGGGCATTGTACTGTTGAAATACAGCACCTGGCAAGGCTTGAAGGAAGGGAACAGCTTGGGGCTGTAGAACTTCACTGATGTACCGGTTGCTGTTCAGATTACCCACAATTCGTAGCAATTGAGATCGTCCATGATATGCTATGGCACCCCAGACCATAACTCCGGGTGTTCGTCCACTGTGGCGTTCGATAACGCACTCCGGAAGATGGCATTCACCGGCATAGCGTCTGACACGAATGCGGCCATCATGGTACCTCAAATTGAAGCGAGATTCATCAGAAAACACGACACGCTGCCAATCAGCACGCCAGTCCCTATGCTGGTTGTCCTATTGCAGCCGCAGGCGGCGAAGGTTTAGCGTGAGGGGATCCTGTATAAAGGAGTCCTTGCGCGCAGTCCACGCTGCAGCAGACGTCTACGAATTGATAAAGCACACAATGAAACACCTGTAGCTATTGGCCACCGTGCTGCTAGTTGTCTAGAGGGAGCCGTACGGTCCGTTAGCGCAACGCCGAACAGGTGTCTATCATCGCGAGCTGACGTGACATTTCAGGGTTCACTCCCGGATTTCCGAGTTGTCCGACACTCGTCCATCCACTGCTTTCAAACACGCATCACTGTGCTGCTGTTACGCTGCACACGAGCGGCTACTGCACGATAAGATAATCCAGCTTCATGAAGGCCGATGATTCTCCCTCGTTTAAACTCCGTAAGTTGTTGCATAAGTAATGACTAAACTAACATTTACCACTAGCAGATAGCCACTGATAACCATACTCGCTTGGCTACAGCCGTCTATTTATTCGGATCCATCCGCCGTTCAGAGGGCGCTGCTCAGCTTACGCATGCTCTACGGGTCTGAAATTCTATTCATTTGCATATCATGCTCTACTTTGCATTTCCTGAAAATTTCAGCTCAATCGCGTAAGTCCGTCATGGTGTTGCAATTTTCACAAACATGAGTTTATATATATACTAGACGGCTCCGCCCCCTGCTCCTCAACCTACAATAATTGCTATGCTATAAAAAAATTTTTCTTTGCGAACAAAATTAAAGTAATTTTCATGTTGGAGATTAGTTGGCAATTTTACTGCATCAAAATCGCACAGAGAGAATATAATAAGATTGTAAAATGTCAGAGGTGCTTATTATCAACCTTTATGCAAACAATATTATAAACTTATATAAAGTGAGGAAGCAATATTATTTATCACATTACTATAGGGCATTAGCCAGAGATTAATCTTTGTATCCAAAGCAGGTGTGACAGAGCCTGACTCAAATCATTGATCTTATAGGATGCTGGATGCTCCCTGTATGATGCTTCATCTCCCCCCCCCATTATTTTAAATTTTAAACAGAGAACAATTAAAACCTAATGAGAAAAACTTTAAAATATGGCAAACAAATTAAAACATGTACTATTAATTGGCTGTTGCTGAGTAATATTTCAAAAGCAAATATGACTGCAAGTAATTACCCAATTAACTTCAATACTGTCAACTGACAAAATATTTTAGTTTCAATCGGACAAAAAACAAATTATGTAGTGAAAACATATAAAGCAGAATAAACTGAAATTGTCAACCAAATATAAAATGAAATAATGAATAATCAATAAACGTTTTTGTCTGAATAGTTGTAAAAAGATATGGTGAAAACAATAAAATTAAAAATTATTTTCAATAGAGGTCTGAATGTTAACAAATCCTAGCTATGTACAATATTTTTTATTGATTTTTCTTTTCACATCGTTTTGTGTACCAAAGATTTGCACTTTTATGTATTAGTTAAAACAAATGTCTCAAACAAATATGAACTGTCAATAAATATTTCTGGCTGAATAATTTTTGAAAAGTTAGTAAAAAACAATGATAAAATTAAAAATTATTTACAAAACCTTATATACAAAATTTTTTATCGATTTTTTTCCCCATATCATTTCGCTTGCAACAATTTGTACTTTAATGCCTTCTTTAGTGCAACACCTTGAAAGTGCAACATATAACTGACTATGTCCAAAGATGGGTTTATTTTGAACAATCTAAAGACCAATTTTATCGAAAGTTTAACCCTGTAACTTATTAATGGTCATGGCACAAGCAATACTTACAGGAAAATGTGTGCAGTATAAAACAAAAGGCAAGTCTTTACTGTCTCTTGTATTTAGAGTTACTCTTGGAATAACTACAGAATTTCCCTTTTTATCACCTATCATAACTGTACAAAAAAAAAGAGCATTTTTCGTCACTTTTTGCACAATTAACCAAGTTCCATTGCATAACCCATCAGCAACACAAAAGCTCCTAACAAGCATTATAACAGCTCTGATATTAAGCTTGAGTTTATGTATAGGTAAACCTGTAACGTTAATTTTTGCCAAATACTCAGGCTGAAAATGCAGCATTATGCTTTTCATTCTCACTCTCATCTCCATCACAAGCAGTTGCTTTATCATAGCTTGTGCAAATAATCATTTCTCCTTGGATTTTTTGAAGAATTAAATTGTTCAAAGCATTTACTTGCTCATTTAATGGAGCCAAAACAACACAACTTGATAATGATATATCTGAAATGCATGCCCCAAATGCATCTTCAGTTATGTTTTATGACAGAATTTCTAATAAATCCCTTTCACCTATGCCTATTGAAATTAACCACCGTCCAAAATCTACAGAATCAGTACGCATATTTCTTGATAGAGAGAAACTTCTCACACACATGACGCCAGAGTGAGGTACATTTAATTATACCATGCACCTACGGACGTCTTCCACCTTGGTTTAAAACTGGCAATACTTGAGGGAAGTTCCCACCAAACAGAATACATTTCCCTCCGAATGCATGATCACAATTCATTAGATCTTTTGGAATGCAATCTATAAGCTTTAAAGTGACTTCAGGTATCATTGATGCTTCATCCCAGATTTTTAGATCCGCATTGGTTAAAATCTTTTGAGAATTTCTATCTAAATAAAGAGGTACAATCTCTTTCTCTGAAGATGGTATACTGATAGGTAACTAAGGTCCCATCTACGAATTTTTTTTTACCCATATGAGCATCATCATCAATTGATTGATTGATAACTTAAAAAACGTTCCTTTGTTTACTGTTGAGTTTTGAATTAATATTTTCTGCTATAAGAAAATGTTCATTTGATGAAAAACCATCAGCAGATAATGGGAAAAAACTTGATAACTGTGATAGTCCAAAGTGAGATAAAGTTTTATCCTTACTGCAAGGACGTTGCTCTATATCACTTAAACAACTATTTTCATGAGATACTTCAAGCATTTTGGATTTAAATTTCTCCCACAAATCTTTAGCTTTAATCTGACTGTAGTTGAAAAGTAAGTGAGCAAAGAAAACTTATAGTTGATAAGGCATTAGATTTTGAGTCACTTTGGTCATGATTTTTTAAGAGCATCTACTTCTCTTCCTTCTTCGAAAGTTATGGGCTGATGGCCAGGTAAATGTACAGGAAAACGAATAGTATTGTGGCTATGTTCATGCATTGGCAACTCTAACAAACACCAAGCTGCTTCCATAGAACTTGCATACCGTGTGTCGATATAATTATCAACTTGATTCAAGTGCGATGTATCATCTGTCAAACCATTCCCAATACTAACTTTTATATGATCATGACCTTTATTCACATACTTAAGTATGTACTTGTATTCCATAACGCTACCCCAGTACTCGACATTGATGTGCAAATCATATTTCAATAGCAGATATGAAATATAGGGCAGGACTATGGAATTGTCAACTGGAACCAACCAATTATTCACACCACGTCTGCTGTAAAAATACATAACATTACGATTATCGCGACACATGCATTTTGGAAAACCATTTCCAGGCATATCAGTCACATCACAAAAAGCAAAATGAAATATTTTTTGACAATTACCTGTTAAGGTTTTATAACAGGGAATTGCATCACTGTGTGGTCCATGAAGCATATGCTTCATAACTTTATTGTGAAGTTTTGGAAAATTATCTCTGTCTGAGATTTCAGCGGAAATAAATCTGTAATGCTTCTGGTGTTAAAAGTTTGTCCCTTGGATTTAAAACGAAAAGGCAATGTGCATGGGGCAAACCTTTTTTTTGAAACTCAATATTAAATGTGTAACCAAGTATTTTTCCAAACACTTTCCCTGCTGCAATTTCTTTTACAAATGTGTCAAATAAGCGTTAAAATGCCCTAACAACTACGTGAGGAATGTCACTTGCATTGAAATCCGTCCCTTGACTACGTAAAAAATCATGAATTTCTGGCCATTGGGGATTTGCAATAAAGCTAATAAATAAGTCAGGTCTCCCTACTTCTTTTGATAATGCCATTGCATCTTGGAAGTGCTGCTGCATCTATCTTGGACTTCTTGAAAACGAAGAAGGAAGAATCACTACACTTCCAAGTCTAATAGGATCTGAAGTATTAGCAGAATTATTTTAAAAATGATCTATTAGAACATTCATGTTTTCTCTGCAAAGTTGGTTTTGATGGTCATGTATGAAATTCAAGTGATTCCGCTCCATAGTTATATAGCTATGAAGAATATATTGTTGCTTTAAACGCCCAGAAAATCACAAAATTGAACTAAAGGACAATTAACTAATTACATACTACTAATTTGTAACTAATTAGAAACTAACAATTCTGCACTATCAAATTGTTATGGTGATAAATTCAAGGTTCATGTTCTTATTTCTCTTTTTGGTAAATGTAGTACTTATCTTGTTAGGTGGAGTTTTGTCATTTCACAATTATTGATTGGTATCTTTCATCTGATTTTAAAAATGAATGATCCCAATCAACAACACAATAATCATTGAATAGTTAAATTGTCAATTGATGGATCATCCACTTAATTACTTTTTGTACGAAACTATTAAGCAGTATATTCACTGTATTTTCATTACAAGATTATGGAGACCCTATTTTATAATTATATGATTAAGAAAATTTTTAATTCAATTAATAATTTAAATTAAATATTGGCATGAGGAAATATTGATAAAACTGAACTATAAGCTGTTAAATCTCTCTGTTCAGTACAATGCAACTCTGAAGTTATTATTAGTATATTTTATTATTTTGGGATAAAATTTGCCTTTATTATACTCTACACGTTTGTTACTAATATGTCACTGTCATAATTATTTACTCTCAGTGAAACAGCTAACTCGGAGAGCTCAAGTTATTAGGTTAGCCACTGATTACTCTTTCTCCTATTTAAATAACTAGTTTGACTTATTTGCAAATTAGACTTTTAACCTTTATCTCTTTAATAAGAAAAAAATTCTTGATAATCTAAAAACTTCTCAGTAAGGACTAGACGAATTTTGATTTCTATTGTTGCCATAGTATTGAATGTAGTTTATCGTAGAGAAGAAAACCTTTTTAATGGACAACTGGTCAAATTTTCACTTTGTGGAAGTTAATTGTAACCGAACTTAGTTTCAAAATGTAAATATTGTCCACATAAAAGCATCACCTTTGCTTTGAATATAAACAAAAACCAGTCCTGAAACATGCAAGGAAGTTTTCTCTTTCTGAAACATGCACAAAGCAGAGCTTGTTACATAATAGAACCTGTTGAACTTCTTTCCTTGCTTCGGTGATTACCTTAGTTAAGATACTCTACCCCATTTGAATTGCATATTTCAACTGTCTAAAATTTTTTCACAGATTTTGAAGGATAAAATGCATTATCTTGTAAAATTTGTGTTTTGCAAATGAAGAAATTTTTTAAGTTTTCTTTCCTTCCCTTTAATCTTTATTGAAAGCCAGATAAAATGTTTCGAAGAGTAAAATATTTCAACCACAATCACTAGTTGTGGTAGGAAATATATTGCATACCAATACTTTGAGATTTGTTAGATTAGTTTCTCAAGCAATTCTGTTTTGTGGAAATTTGTATTATACAGTTCATGTTTTTCCTTTAGTAACAAAATTTAACCACTTCTAATAACTTTGCATGCCCTTTCATTTTAAAAAGCTGAAATCAAATTATTGTTTCTAAATGCTTTTCAAATTGTTAATTTCTTAAAAAGAAAAAAAAATTTCTAAAACCTCTTTTCAGTAATTTATATTTTTGTTAACTATCTTTCTTTATGTCTGACATGAAAATTTAATCTTTAATTAGCTTTTGTAATATTGAACCACATATAAACATTGGTCTGGAAGGGATAATTTAAATGCATGAAAATCATGTAAGGTTTAGCCATATTTTAATGTTGGTCTTTGTTCTTTCTTTTTTTTAGAGTTTGAAGATATTTTGCATGAAATATGACCAGGAATACAGTGGACATAAGCTCATTTCCCTTGTTTACTTTATCCCTGCGAAAACTGTCTTTAGTGACAGTTACTTTACCTTTAGCATCCATGGTGTTTTGTTTCATAACTTCAATGATATTCAATTTTCAACTGGTCAACACAACTATTTGTGATGTAAATATTTTTAAAGTTTTTCTTTAGTTTTTGTGTTATGCTATCAATGTCACCATAAATATTTTATCTATTTATTGTTAAAATAATAATAATAACTATTGCTTTAATAAATTGTGCCTTAAATTGTTAGGTAGTATGAGGTTTGAAATGTGAGATTTTTCATTAAAAATGTTGATATCAACAGAAGCGCATGTGTAGGAGCTTTGTGTGGTGATGGCACTGAATTTTTTCTTATTTATTATAAATAATGTTAATGCATTTATTGCTAATGTTATCGTGAATGAATTATCACATGCTGCTTTAAATATATATATATATACTCGTATATATATATAAAAGTATATATATATATNATGCTCTGAACTAAATCCGTCACCTTGGGTATGTCAATGATACATGTATGAAGTGATTAACATATTAATTATCATATATATACTCCTTTCATATCATTGCAATAGAAAATTTATTACCTGCTTAATACATTTAGAGTAAGTATTTAACTATTAGATTTATCCAAACCAATTTGAACTAAACAAAATCAGTACTTAAATTTTGCTTAAAATTAATTAGTAAAGATTTTATTTATTGAAATTGTAATATTTACTGTTTTTGGCAAAGTTTATAGATATGCTCATTTAATAAAACTGAGATTTTTCATTAGTATTAATTTTAAAAATTTTATTGAATGTTTTAAATAGTTTTTTAATATAAGTTTCCTACAGTACGATTGTTAATATGGTTGGTTTTTAATGTAAAAAGGTCTCAATAGTAATCTGCAGTTAAAGACAATATTATTTGCCAAAGTAAAAGACTTATTTTAACATTGTGTCTAAAATTGTTAGAAAACAGAATGTACAGTTAACTTTAATGACAACACTATCTAATGTAACAACTTTCTCCCAGTAGTTATGTATTAAAATTCTGCAGAGTGCAGAGATGCCAACTTGCTCTGGACAGCAAAGATATATTTTAAAGTGATAGTTTATCAATTGTGATTCTTGGTTTAATAAATTCAATTTAGTAGATTTTTATCCACCACTATTTCTCAATATTTCGTAGGCTTATGTAATTCGCCACTTGATAGTTCTTATGTCATGCAATACCTTTTAAAAAGCAAGCAAAAGAAGTCAAATGTTTGCAAAATTTACTCTGTAGTTATTTACCGTTTCTTTAATTTTTTTGGCCTGTCCGGAGCAGTTGGCATCTCTGAGAGTATATAAAAATTATTTTTTACTCCCTCTTTCATCAAAAATATCCCATCCCTCACCAAAAAAGGAAATTTTTTATTTTATTTAATCATCTTTTTTTTAATTGATAAATAAATCCTGATTTATAAGCATTTTGTTAATAATACTGCTCCAAAATTATAATAAATTGTTTTCCCAAGAAGACAGAAAGCTTTAAAATAAAATGGGTTCTTTTGAATTTGTATTAACAGTTTTATTTTGATTGATTCATATCGTTTAGAAAATATTCTTGACATGGTAAAATGTAAGATAAAATTTTTTCAATAAATTGATTGCATAAAATTTAAAACCTGTTCAATATATGTATACAGTGCAATGTCCTATATCCGGACGTCTCTTTACCGGAAGGGTCTATTTTTCGGACACTTTTAACAATCTAATCTCTTTTCATAAAATTTTTTTTATTTTTACACTTGTGATTTGTTTAATGAAAATGCAGGAATGAGAATCCTTCCATTTTCTGCTTCTTTATGATTTTTACACGACTTCTGATTTTTGTTCAGTTTTAATCCAGTTTCCTCTACAATATGAAAGAAAATTGAATATCATGGAAAGGAAACGTGGTATTTCACTACTGCGCGAAAAAATAGCGTATCTTTTTTTTTCACGTCTTGCATAAAAGGATCATTACCGCCAAAAATCACGCACTCAATTTCAGAGTGCAAAAATTTCACATTTTGAAAAAATTACGGATTTCAGATGAAATCCTCACTACTAAAGCAGGGGCAATAAGTGATTGTTCAAAAGCTTGAGTCGAAATTCCGTTATCGTAATAATATTAAATTAAAAATGAAATCAAAATTTTCAAAGCTATGCGGAAATCCCAAACTGTTGAAAATGTGATTGACAAAACCACGATGACTATAAAATTGTCACAAATCGAGTGCATAAATACGCGACTTGAAATTTCCCGTGTACGATAACGTAGCATTAAAATACTAGGAAAATTGGTAGCAATTATTGACAAAAATGCGATCGTAAATTCATGTGGGACTGCGGATGAACCATCGATAATTGAGGGCGAAAAGCGTAATTCAATGTTTTCCAAAGGAAATAACATCATATTAAAATATTGAGATTTTATAAAATTCTTCTTTTGAAATTCTGTTTTTATAACTACCGAAAAAATGATCGGCGAAACCACATGGTTTCACAGTGGCATCGTTGCTAGTCGATTGGGTTGAGAAATAATTACTAACTGAAATGTGTGATTTAGAATTTTGTGGTATGTTTTAATGGCATATTAAAATGTCGAGATTTTGAAAACCATGTGGAAATCTGCGAAAATAACGCAACACCGCATACCACATGGATTTATTCGTTGTTGATTGAAATGAACATAAATTCATTTAATTGTTATTTTTTAATTGAATAAGGATGTTTTGTTTGTCTACCTTAAGGGCTTATTAGCCGGACTTGCTCAAGTCCCGACAATTCCGGATGTGGGACTTCCCACTGTATATATATATATATTGAATTATTTATTTACCATATAAAGTGTTGAAAAATAAATTCAATCAGTGATTCCCATAATTTATAGATCATCCAAGAATTCTATCTCACAGAGGCGATGAAGCTTTATGATTGGTGATCAAAAATCTGTGGTCAATTTTACAAATGTTTCATGTTATCAAGAATGCCCATTTTAAAATCAAATAGGCTAAAGAACTAATGAAATGACGTTTTTATTTTAAAGTATCAATAAAGAGAAAAACACTTTTTATTGGCTAAGAAGACACATGCTATAAAGAGATTTATTGATGTCTTTACGGTTAATATTGTTTCGAGGATCATTAAATTTATTGATTACTTAACATTGTTTTTTTATAGTTTTCTTTGGATAAGTTAATTTTATGTTAATGTTCATAAACCTTTTTATTCATGGTAATAGTTCAAGACAAAAAGTAAACGTTAAATTTTGAAGCATAAACTTTTGACTTACTGTTCTAACTAAATAATTGGGATATTTTTCAGATTGCAGCTTTTCCCATGTTTTAAGGATCAAAATTCCAAATCTGTTGAAAAAGTTATGTTTATTCAATAAACGGGAGTTTTCCTAGCTCACTTTTTTACTTAAAATATTATCTCAAATAATTAATTAGCATATTTAAGGCTTGTCTCTCAAAATAATTAAAACAACAGATTTTGTCAGCCTTTTTTATAAATTTAAAGCATGCATTTCTTAAAGTAATGCTCAAATGTATCATGCCATGTGTAGTCTATATTTAGTTTTTTTTTACATACTCATTTGAAATATTTTTTTAAAGGTATTCAATTTTTGTCCCTCTGTAAGTGCAATAACTGGAATTTCGCCTCAAAGATACATCTGGCGAATAGGCGTGGCACTACATTCTACTCCTCGTCTTTTGTTGGCTTCTGTGTACTACAGTCACTATATCAGGAAAACTAAAAATGTTAAAAATGAATCAAAGTCCTTATATGAACACATTGTGACATTGAATTATTGGTTTCATGCTACTGAAATTATGGCACTTGTTGGTGTTACATATATTTCAAACAAGGAAAATTATCGTAAGTAATTAGTCTATTAACTTTTTTAATTATGATTTGTGTGTGCGTAACATTGATGCAAATATTGTTTTTGAAGAAAATTCAACTTCTCTTTCAATTTTAATTTCTGCTTATATTAGAACAGTGGAGATAAGTAAAAACTTGTAAGTCCTGTGGTACAAGTTACTTGCAAAAGGTCAAAAGAATATTTAGAATTTTTTTTGTGTGCATATTTTCTTGGAAAGTCCTTTTGGAGCTTAATTCTACTGATATTTAACAGTAGACAACTTTTTTTTTTACCTAACATATTGTGTTTAATTTTTTCTTAAAAATTTTACTTTTTTCACTTTTATGTTTTTACCTCATCTCTATGAAATACTAATGTAATTAAGGAAATATGATTCTGAATTATATTATCGACTCACACTCTTTAGAGTGCCATTACAGCTTCCCTTCTTTTATAACAACCAATACAGTAAGTCCCCTTTGCTGTTGCATCGATTCAACTGGAATGTCCTAACTGAGCTATTTTTTCCAGTATGGAAGCCAAAATTTCGTCAATTTCTAAATACATTGACCATTAGTCATTTATTTCAAAAATTTCAAATAAATAATACAAATCTCTATTCTTTAAATGTTGTTGCAGAGGAAATATTGCAAATTCAGATCAAGCTAGTAACACAATCCCCATGATTTGTATTCTTTGTGGTTGAGATTTATGATCTAGAGCTAGTGAAACACGTCTTACTTTGCATCATTTATAATCAAATGTGAATATTGCACCTTCATATGAAATTCAGGTTGTTGGCAAGTGCCCATTCATTAAGTTTTAAATGATGCTTTCCCTATCTTTGTAAATATATTTTTAAATGGTTACTGTAAATTTATGAATTATAGTTTTCTATGAAAACTTAATTCACTATTTTTGCAAAATGTTTTCTTCTTAGGTAGTTTAATTTCTAAGCAAACAAACTCTCATTTTGTTTAGTCTTTAGAGTTCTCTGAACTTATATTGTTAAGTGAAAATTATTTCTTACAGCATGTGATACTTAGCATTTTGCATTATCAAATATTTTGCCAGTTACCTAATTTTTTTTAATGCATAACATGATTTTCTCAACATTAATCTAGCATTTATTAATTATGATTAAATACTTACATTATTTTAATATATAGCAACCTAATATTATAGCATTAATTTTTGCTTGGTCCAAAGGAGTGGTTTTATGGAGCAAGTGTAAACTTTTGACTCTTTTGCTTGACTTTTCTACTAAAGACAAATTTTTGTGTTTTCATATTACTGTCCTATGTGATGTGTACATAGAATTAACAAAAATATCCTGGTTTTTTTAAAAGGAAATGTCAAGAAAATTATAATATTCAAACCAAGAAACAGACCATCAAGAAAGGGGAAATAGAGAAATAAGGAAAAGTGTTGCATTGTTCAGCTTTAATTAAATTTCTTATTTATGTTTGGGGCATTTGTCTTTGAAGTATGTGATATTCAGTAGCTTTAGTCAGTACCACATTCAACTATCAGAGGGGTGTAGATAAAGGGAAAAATTTTAAATACGCTCTTAAACATCTATATTAAATTTCTGCAACTAAACAGACAATTGAATTTTTCGCCTTCTAATAGTTTTTTTTCTTACTAGTTACTTTAGAAAGTTGGAAAATACAAGATTCTCAATCAGAATGGAAAAGAGATATTGCTAGTGTCAGGTCCATGCCGGGTGCCTTAAAGGGAAGGGGGACAAAGGAAGTTGAGGGTGTCTTCTTCTGAAGTAATCTTATGAAATAGCTTGCTCTTGACTTTTTATTTCTATGGTGAAAGTAATGACATTCCTTTTAACAATTTTTGCTCACTTAGTGATTTATGATCAAAATTTTTTTTAAAAATTACTTTTACTCCACATTTTGTTTTTTAAATAAATTTTTTTTTTTGCAAAAAAATAGTGAAACATTTTAATATATATTTTTATCTTTTTCCACAAAAAATTGAATTTTATCCCAATATTCTTTGAAACTTGCTTGGCTCTTATCGAAAAAAGCATTAAATCTGGTTTTAGCTAGATTTATTAGTTTAAAAAAATGAATCAATAATTTAAAAAAGGTTATTTAAATTTTTATGCAATTCCATGTTATAAAGCAAAAAAGTCTTGTTTCATTATCAGAGTTCGATTTCTTTCAAAAATAGTTTTTTGAATGTATAGTGCCACCAGTATACATTAATTCAAACCTAACATTTTGTAGATGAAATAGTGTGAGCACTTGAATAATTTTGACTTGAATAAAGAGCCTCTAGAAAGTGAACTGTCTTTAGTTCCACTAAAATGTAAAAAACTGTGACTGTTTTCGTTATTCACCAGCCTGATTAAGAAATTTGATTAGAATTAATTCTACTATTTCTTTAGCAAGGTAAATATTTTATGTTTAGTTTATAAAACTAAACTTTTTTATTGACCTTGTAAATATCCTATCCTAGAAAATTAAATTAGGTGTAACAAATTATAGAATTACTTTCGTTAGTCCATAAGCAGCATTATTTATAAAATGCATAGCAGGAAGCAAGTTATGTGTTTATAATTTGTACATATTAAGATCAAGTGTCACTTTGTATTAACCTTTTCCACTTCAATATTACCTCTAAGTAGACATCAAAAGTGACCTTTCTAAAACTGATATTTTTTTAACTTAATAATAAGTAACCTCATTACTTTATGAGTTTTAGAAATTATTTAAAAATATTGTACTCTGTAGTTTAAGTAATTTAATGTTTAAATTAGTTTAAACACCATATCAAAGTTCTCAGAGTACAAAGGGTTAAAATATTTTTCTCTTTTTCTTTCCTTCATTTTTTAAAGACTGGACTTAAATATTCATGGATAGGAGTCAGAATTTAATCTTTACTATTACATTTGCAATGGGCTGTGATGTTATTTTCTATAATTATTTGGATTGTGACTTATTTTCATGTTGTTAGTCAGATTCATTATAAAAAAGTGCATTGTTGTTGTATGCCTGTTTAGGCAGAAGGGGTGCGATTGTTCTTGTTTTCCAGTGGTGCCACCTATGGCCAAGAATTCGACTTCTGCCACACCATTCGTCCCACCCGTTTATAGGGCGAACCCATCCCATTCATCCACAGATCGTAATTTTGACCTGAATCAGAGAACTATCAATCTCCAATCCAGTACCCCCAGAGGTATTAAAAAAAGTGCATAAAAATGATTTATTCATAGTGATAAGGTGGAAAGAAAGCACAATAAAATATGTTATAATGCTATGTTAAATTTCTTCTTTATGCTTTTCAATTTAATTGAATATTGCATACCGGAGCCTCATCTTTAAGGAGGGCACATTATAGTAGCAGGGGCCCAGAAGGTAATTGGAAAGGTCTATGGCCAGTCTGACCCTGTCAGAAAGAATGTAGTTTTTTTTTCGATGAAAAATTCAGAGGTTCTCAAAATTATCACATCTGTTCCACTTTAATGTCAAAGTTTTGCACCCATCAAATTATAATACTGAAATTTGGTGCCTTACTTTCCATACTAATAGTATTGAATAGTATTTGCACTTGGATATTCAAAATTAGGTAAGCTTTATAGTATTTATTATCACTAGAGCACAGGTATTTATGCAATATGTAATACTGAATTATTGTTTCTTTATTGCACCAATAATACACCTTAGTAATTTGTCTATTGCATTATCACAGATGGTAATGCAATAGATATGCATGTAATATTGCATTACCATGTGGGATCAATAATAAAAAGTAGTAAAATATTTTCACATTTCCAGACTTCCAGAAATTTGATTATCACAAACTATACAAGTCTCTAATTTAAAGGATGTTTTTCTTGTCTGTTGTGTACGATTTTTCAATGTATTTATACATGATTGCTTAATTTTTGTTTTAAGGACAAAACTTTTGTGGTTATATTCTTGTTAGTCATCAAGACAAGATATGGTTACAAGTCGATTACAAATTCAGTAGCCTTTGATTAATGTGATCACTATTAATGTTATTAATTGCTTATTGTCATAAAAATCACATGGTCTGGAGTTTTTCTATTTGTTTGTATATTAAAATTATTGCTTTCTGATCATTATATTATTTAATATTTTTATTCAGAAGGAACCTGTTCTGTTTTTTTCTTGCTCTATTAAATTTTCTAGAATTCAACTATAGATGAACAAAAGTATAGTGATTGGCTGCTAATGCTATGTGTTAATTTTCTTCATGTCTCAAAAGAGCAAGATCTTATCTGAACTAAGAATGAGAATGTCAACATACTATGCCCTATTCGCTTTGATGACATGAATTGCAGAAAGCCAATAGGTTTAACATTAAAACAATAGATCACTACTTTAAATTGTTATGACAGCTTACCAAAAGTGAGTTAACATAATGCTGCAATAGAGTTGAACATCTCTCAGCAGAGAAATGTTACAAACAAATATCTTATTGGAGAAAAATAAATATCTTATTAAAAGAGAAAAAACACAAAGTACAAAAGAAATAGAGTAGGTAAATATAAGCAAGTTGCAAAAATTCTAAGACTGGTTTGAAACTGTCCAATACCATGATGTTCCAGTCAATAGACCGCTTATGCTACAAAAAGAAAATTTAGCTGCTCAAATGGATCAAAAGATTTTGTTGTAACAAATGGCTGGTTGCAGCATTGGAAGAAATAAGAAAATGTTGGTAAATTTTTACATTTATCTAATTTTGTGATTTGCTTATTGTTATCAATTGGCTAATATTATCAAAATTATTGTGTCCCAAAGTGATTACATTAAGCGATGACTACTGAACTACCTTTTTCTGCCATTCAATCTATGTTAATTTGATTTTAAGATTTAAAAGAATAATTTTCATTTTTCAGCTGTCCACGAAAAAATATTTATCACCTTTATGGCTGCTTCCATTTCTTATATGTTAAGCTCTTGTGCTTTGAGTCATATGAGCCAGTCTTCAAATCCAACATATTTGGTAAGTTTTAATTAAAAGTTTGTTTAAATATTTTGTAGTAAAATTATTCTTCCATTTTACATTTGTTTTACTACTTAACTTTAGCATAAATCACAGAATTTTATAGCTCTAAAATCCATTAAAATTCGTGTAGTTATAAGTACTATCTTTTAATTGTTGGAAGTTTCTTAGCCACCTTTATAATTGAGAATTAATTGCGGGGAAAAGTAGAAGATTTGAAAATTAATATCCAATGTTAAGATAATTTTACCTCATTTAGTTCTTCTAAAAGTTGTTATCAGTTTACTTTGATAAATTTTTGAGTTTTCGTTGTTTTATGTCTTTTTTATTGACTGTATATGCATATAATCTATAAATATTTTTTTAAAAAAATAATAATACTCTTTTGAATGTTTACTATATTTAAAAAAAGTATTGAATCTGTTAGTTTGAAAAATATGGAAACAAAAATCTTCATTCCAAAAACTTTTTATTGTATTACTTTTTTGGAAATAAATATTATCATGGATACATTAGAGATTGTTAGTATCTACTGTATAAAATTACTTTATGCATTTCTATATTATTATTACTTTACTGCTATCATTAAGGTTATTTATTCTAAATAGACTTATTTAAAAAATGTTCTTTACACTATTTTATATTAATCTTTATAAGTTTCGTTTAGATTATTAGTATTTTAGTTAATTTTATTGGTTTTAGGAAAAGCTGTCTTACAGAACAAAACTTTTCCTGTGCATAATCATTGCTCTTACATCATTAGGAATGGTGTATTTCTTTTATAAACATCGAGTGTATTGTGTAGAACTTGGTAAGTTTCCTGATAAAGTAATTTTTTAGTGAATTTGCATTTTTCTTAATGGTTTAAACTAATTTCTTTTAATCAAACATTTTAAGAGTTATTTTACATCAACTTCCTTTTTCTTTCCCCACCTAAGTAGCATAAGCATGAAACTTGAAAATAAGCTAGCAAGAAAAATTCACATTTCTCCAATCGCCTTTTTTGATTTTCATCTTTCCCTTACATTTAATTTTGAAATTTAAGAGGCATACAGTGAAAAGAAGCATTATTTAGTTATATCATCAGAGTTGAAATGAGATGTTCATAATAATCAGATTAAAACATTTCATAATAGAGATGGAATTATTCATCCAAATTTTCTGAAATATTTGTAACAAATGTATAAATGCATGTTTTTTAAATTTTAACTCTTTTTAGCTATCTCTTGATGGTATTTAAATTATTTATTTCTTGCATTGATTAAATAATACTGTCCTGTTGGTTTTTTTACTCCTAGTTATCTTAGGTATTTTATTTAAATGATAATTAAAAATGTTTCATTCTTTGGTTGCTTTTCAATTTGAAAATTTTCAGCCAAGCACTGAAAATTAAGTGTTATCAATATCAAAACCATAGTATTATGCTTCTATCAATAAAACACTGTCATTTGATTATTAATTTTAATTTTCTTTGCAAATCTATTGCAAAATTCATAGTTTAGATTTTTCACTGTTAATTTTTGTAAGACTAAAAATGAGAAACCCTCGATTTTTTTATGATAAAAAGTGTTATTAATCATCATGAAAAAAAATTTAAATTTGTAAAAGTTTTTTCTCTGTAAGGAAAATCTTGAAATTTGCCAAAAACTTCCCCCAAAAAATTTTTAAATGTAAATTTTAAAACATTAGTTACTATAGATTTATTGTTTTGATAGTTTTAACAAACTAGTATTTTTAACTTTCTAACGATACTAGAAAAAAAATAAAATTGATTAATAAATAAAAAAGTTATCGAGTTTGCAAACATATTAATTACTTTCCCTGGTAATGCTACTTTGTTAAAATGAGTCAGATTTCAAAGTGCACCTTAACCCTAATTTTGATCTAAATTCTGAAAAAAAAATTTTAGCAAATTTTCATAAAGAACTTTTAACAAAAATTTTCATGAAAATCTGTGACAAGACTGCAATGGCCATTGTATGTATCCTTATGTGCATTTACATTAAAAATAACAATTTGGGGTAACTTTAAATGTTTTACATTTATGTAAATTATGTAAATTGCTTGTAAATTATAAAATTTTTGAAATTTTTCAGCATTCAGTTGGTTTGCCTTATGTGAATATGTCATATGTTTTGCCAACATGGCCTTTCATGCAACAATAATATGGGACATGCCAGATGAAGAGATGGTGATTTGCCTTCCACACTCCCACAATTCACCAAATTGCCATGATTTGACAAAAAAGAATGATTAATATTGTCTTGTAGAGTGTCCTATACTTAATTCTGTAAAATTGTAAATAGAACTTTTTCACCTGAACACTTTTAATTTGAAGACTGCAATCATTGTAGATGCAAGCGTATTTTTTGAAAGCTAGACTATGCAATTTTCAATAATGATTTTCTCTTTTTTAAGTCTATTCTGCAATCTTAGTTTTTCACATAAATGTGTTAAAATTAAGCTATTAATCATAAAAAGATTTTTTTAATATGCTAGTTTACAGTTTTAGATTAATTTTAGAACATTCTATTGTTTTTTCATCATTTAAAAGGTATGATTTTTCTAGTTTTCCTTTGCCTGGAAACTAAAAACCTAGTTTAATAATGTGCATGTCATATCAAATATGTAAAAAGTTTTGAAATACTTTAGTTTTGGATAATTATAAGTATTTGCCTTAGAATTTTCCTTAATTACAATCATGTATCTACATCCTTTGTGTTCATGCATAATTATATATCCAAAAAATATTTATATAACAGGAAGCATGATTTAGGCATTTTACTTATTTTGTTATTTGTATTTTTATTGTTATATTTGTTAGTATGGTACCAGTGAAAATCCCACCATTTTATTATAATTACCCTGTTGCATTTTTATCAGGGTTTTGTATCACATACGCTATCTGATACAACCTTTCAAATAAATTGACTTCATAAATAAATTATTAAATTATTTCTTGAAAACTGAAGTCATTAATTGTTATTAAATTAATTTACCTTGCTCAAAATATTTTTTTTATTTAGTTCTGATTTTGTGTTTTGGTTGAGAAAAATGTTTTAATCATTGGTGGCTACTTTTGCTTTTTAAGTTTTAAGCTTATGAAAGATTTTTTTAAAACTATTCTTAAAAAAGTAATCCTGCCATACATATACAAAAGAATCTCAATTTTCATTAGCTATTTTATTGGCTTCATATTAAAAATCTATCTAAAAGAAATATCTTGTGTAGAATTAATTTTAGAAATCATTCATAATGCATTATCTTCATATGTTATGTGACATTTTCTCTAAAATGTTTTTTTTTGATGCCTTGTTTTAAAGGGTTTTTTCATGCACTTAGTGTGCTATTGCATACTTATAGCAATAAAATCAACATTAAGTATGTAATAATTTCAGTATACTGATAATTCAGTTCCTTTACAAGTGTTGCCATATTTTTTACATTGCTTTTTTATCAATTTTATTTTATTTTTTTGTTTTCTTTATTATCTTATATTTTTTATTTCATTGTTTTCTTGTACATACCTGTTTACTAATATATAAGTTACGTTTTCTGCTATAATTTTTAGGAATTGGAATTGATTTTACTAAGAGCCACACTACTAATTTGCTATTTTATTAAGATTTATCATCTAAGGGTCACTGTCAGTAGTAAAATTTTTATTTCTTGCTCTATTGTATTTTTAATGTTTTTATTTGCGAAACAAGTCACAATATCTGTAAATTGCTAGTTTTTATTCTGTTGCTAATTTAAAAGTTCATTGCTTATTCTATTTTTATTTAAATTTGAGATGTGTGTAATTTATTAAGTTCTTTTTTCACACATATATAATTGAGTAAAAAGATTGGAAGTATGTATTTTAAATGTAATGTGTTTGTGTATGTCTTGAATGAGATAGTGAACTTTTAATGTGTGCATTTTATTGATTTTATTTTTTTAATCGAATTTTAATGCTTTTAAAATAATTTTTCATGAAAACTATTATCACATTTTAGGCCATGTTTTAGTCATTGAGTAGAGTTTAAAATTTCTCTCTCTGGCATCTCTCTCTTAAAATGTAGGTGCACCTTTTTTGTCACAGTAGAAGTATTTTTCAATTTATACTATTTGCGCTTTAAATCTTATAGAAAAACTTTATAAATACTTTAAAACTTAAAAGAAATATTGCTTCATATTATAAGTGATTTAGTTTATATTAGAATCTTAATTCATTTGTCTGTGCATTTATCTAAGTCGCTTGCAGTATATTTGAATTATAAATTTCTATTTATGGTAAAAGTCTTCCTTAAGAGTATAATTACTTAATTGTCATTTTAAAATTTGACTTTTAATAATACCAAAACTATGCAATATCTTATTTTTTGGTATAATTAATCTTTTTTCATTTATGATATCAAAGATAGAAAAAAAACTGATATTTCTCATTTACAAGTTTTTCCTTTTAAGAAGGAAATAATTTTCCAAATATTTTTTATTCATAAAAGGTAGAAATCTTTGTTACATTATGAACTAAACTATATGCTCTTAGGTCAAATGTTATCAAGAAAGGTCTGCCACATTTTTACCCTGTTTGTTCGTTTTCAAACCCTGGCCAATTTGTGTTAACAATATAACGTGAGTAATTTCTGATGTAAGCAAAACTTAACATATTTTTGTATTAATAAGATTTTTTGTTGTTTAGATCAAATAAGTTTACTTTTTGTACTTGAAAATAGTCTCTAAAAATGAAATTCATAGATTTATTAAAAATGGATAAGATGAAACCATTTGGAAGCAAGCTATCCAGCTGAAAAAGCATCTTAACAGATTTTTTAAAAATCTTAGAATCAACATAAAAACGAAATTTATAACTGATTTAAGGTGCATAATCTCAACTATTTTCTTTGTATTTTGGCAAATGTAAACAATAAATCTAATTTGTTTTCTTTTTGAAACTATTCTGATTTATGTCCTTTTGTAGTTTGGTTCTAGAAGTTTGTATTTTTTCCTTGAAAACTTTGATTATGTTGTTTTTTCTGAGCAGATCTCAAATTAATGTAGGCATATTTGCGTTGAATTTCCCACCAATTTCTGACAATTATGAATGTTGAGAAAAATGCTTAATGGAGTATATTAATTAGATAATGTGAACAATTCTCATGATATCTCAAAATATTTGAATGCAATAAAGAATTGTTTTCTTCTTTATTCAATGTCTAGACCATATTTTACCTCCATAAAATATTATAAGCAAACCTTATCAAATGGTTTTTATTTATTATGGATGACCTTTAAAAAGTTTTTAAATAGGTAAAGAAAAGGTTCTTATTTGAAGAATTTTTTGGAAAGCTCAGCCATTTAAATTCATTATATGTAAAGAGCCTTATTCAACAATATCGATGGTTTTGAATATTTATGAGGTATGAATATACTGGTTTGATACAGCAATGTAAGTTAAAGTATGTTCTCAAATAGCAGGCAACCTTGCAGCAAATGTTTTATTTTTATTTGGTTGGCATAGAAAGGTTGACTAATTATTCCTCTTTTAAACTTAGTAGAAATATTAGTATACCGAGCTTGTTTTCTTGAAGATTGAATAAAGGCATGAAAAAAACTTCAACAAAAAATATATCATTTTTTAGCTTTAATGTAAACATTGTTTTTGCCTTTTTTTCATTCTATCTTTGTCCAGATTCTCAAATGCAACATTTAGTTTGCATTGAATACTTAATGATCACACCATCAGTCACATTTAAAGTGTTGAAGAAAGTATATAAAAGCATGTGTAAACTAACTTTGTTTCTGTGAGGTCATAAAATCTCAAACTTTAAGAAGGTGAATTGATCCTACGTTAGAAAACGCTTTCAACCCTTGATTTGAAAATGATGATCCATCCTTGATTTTAGGCTTTTCTAACCCTGATTTTAATGGTAGATTTAATGCGGTTATAAAAGGGCAGTTTATAGCACATAATTTAGCATAGTTAAATTGAACATTGTTTTAATCTTTCCTGATTTATTTACTAATCATTTTTAAACCTTGTTGGACTTCATGATAAAGGTTGTTGTAGACATTAAAATCAACCTGACACTGCTATTTGGGATTGACTCAAAATAAATATGTATAAATAAACAAGCTTTGTATTACTTGATTAGAAGTTAATTTTACATGTATGAAGACATAACCTAATGTGAAACAAAAAAGTTATGTCTCCATCCAAAAAGAGGTAAAATGTGCGACATTTATACTCTATTAAGCTTACCTCTTTCTAAAGTCTGCAATAAGACCGCAGCATATTTGTGCGTGTATGTATTCATCTAAGCATAAATTCATATTATGTATTCATATTAAGCATAAATTTAGATGAAATGACACTTTATAAGATGAGTGAGTGAATAAAAAGAACAAAACCATCCATCTTGCTGGGTACTTAATTATGCGAGTTGTAATCCTTAAACTTAAAGAGAAAGAGTTGAATTTCGTTTTTAATTTATAAATTGATATGTGCATGTGTCTGTAGACATAAAAGTATATATTTATATATGCATATATAAATATTTATGTATATGCATTTCTATATATTTAGTTGTGTTTGTACAATATTTAAATATAATTTACTATGTTATAGTTAAGATCATACTTAATACAATAGGATTTATTTACTTATTTTTTTATTGATTAGCATATTAAAATGTTTAACTTTTCTTGGTTATTCAATAAGTACAGTAAATATCATTAATTTGCAAAAAAAGATTTTTTTTTTTAATATGGAATGTAATTTTTTTTCTCAAATTTATGTATATTAGCCTTTTAAAACTTGGGGTGCTTACAAATTTTTTTTTATTGACACTAATGGCTGGCTTTTCAGTATAGGTGAATTCAGTGTTGTGCCAAACATATGAACTACCTATAACTGTGCATACACTATGGGCCACCTTAAATTTTGCATGGACACGTAGCGTACTTACAATTTCTTTATTGACTTCTGTTGTAGTGTGTTTCCATTTCACAAAAAATATTTTTAAGCCAGTTACTTCCTTAATTGATGAAAATTATAAGAGTTTTGCATTTTATAATTATGGAATAATTAAAAGTAAGGAGTAAGAAAACGAATTCATTTATTTTTCCATAACTTTTATTTGTTATTCAACTTTAAACAAAAATATTTTCCTCTTGCTTAGTATATACTTTATTGGCGAGTATTTCAAAGTTCCTTATGCTGGTTCAAACTAGTTTTCAGTTTGAGGCTTGATTTGATGCTGTAAGTGCTATATTTTTGCCAATGAAATTTGAAAAACTTCAAAGTGACAGTACTTATTAGTCACTATTAAGCTATTTTATTTTATGATTATTTAAAATTGTTTAGTATAAATTATAAAGAGCTTATGTGTTGTAGATACCAACAATTAAAGAAATTATTTGAGTAATTATGGAAATATGGGAGCAAATTATTTTTTTTAAATACTTGTAAGATTGTAGTGCATGGTTTCTGTTGGTGATATCATTAAATCCATTTGGAACTGACTAGCTTTCACTTTTGCCTTATTTTTGGTGCAAACTCTAGTTATTTTTTTCATACTAATAATTTAGTATTGGTTTTTTAAAATGAATTTTAGAAATGAGCATTTTGTGATATTATACTTTGTTTCTATACTGCTGCTTTTGCTCATAAACGCATGAGAAATTTAATGAAACTGCCTTATTTAACTTCATTTATGAAACCTGATTTACTTACATTAGATTTTTTTTCTCCAATCAATGACGTTTATTGTTCTAGTTGACCTTATAAAGTTAATAAAAAGCAAATTGCAGTCATAGTCATATCTAAACAAGACATTTTGAAAGACTATAATCTCAATAATTATCAGACATTTGATTACATTCAGATCTGATTTTCTTTTTAAATATATGATTGAGTTTAGTATTTATGTGATTAACTTTTTACATTTAATCTTGTAAGTAATTTGTTTCATAAAAATATGTTTAAATTTTTTTTGTTGAAATTGAAATAAAATTTTCTTTTATGATATTCAGGCCATAGATTACAAACCTCTTCTGCAAAATTATTGTAACTAGTTGCATTTGATTGTATTAAATTTAAATCTAAATATGATGCAGAATTTGCTAAATATAAAGGTTATTCCATTTTTAAAGATAGATATGGAATTATGTTTAATGAAAATTTATAATATATCACATTAATTTATTATAAGATTTATTTTATAATTAGTATTTATTAGATTTGTTTTATAATTTTCAATATATTATACGAAACCACATCATCTTGACATAATTGTATTAATAAGTGGCTCACTTGTTTTTTCTTATGTTCTTTTTTGATGCCGTGTTCTCCATTTGAATTTAGTTTTGTTCAGCCTACATTCAAACAATTTAATATGTTGTTCCAACTTATTTAAGAATATTTTTTTTGTTTTAACATTTTATTTTATAGATATTTGAAAAACTTGACTATCAAATCAGATTTATGGAATTCTGCTTGTTCAGTTTTGATTAAAAGGATTTTCTTCTGTGTGGTTGGTGATATTGAAGAATAAGTTATTTTATTAAGGATAAGAATTTAACCAGTTTTAAATCTAATTTGTGCTTTGAATTAAAATATTTGTTTAAGAATAACCATGTTAAGCTTTCATGAAAGTAAAGTAGTTTGTCGTAAGCAATGTAACAAAAAATTTTAGCTCTACAAATCAGCATTGCATGCAAGTTATATTTTCATTGTTCTCTGAATTTTAGAAGTTTTGCTTTCTAAAATGCATTATTGTAAAAATTAACCTGAAAATTAGGGATGAAGGAAATATCTGTGAAGCATGACTTGTATACAATTGGTCCTTTGTTTTCTACTGTGTGTGAAAATAAAAAATGTGTTTATGGATGTTTACAATCAGTGTGATGATTAAAAATAAGGACTTGTAAAATCATATATTAGCTAGATGTTTTTAAGTACCTTAAAAGTATAGTACATAATTTTTTTCTAAAAAATATGAGTATATTGTGTTTGCATTTCATGTTTGGTATTTGGAATTGTACAATTTAATCCTTCAAATTTTAGATAAATTAATAATTGACTTAAGTTTTAGACAAACTATCTGAAACAAAAAATATCAAAAATGAATTTCAATGAAAAATTAGTATCAAAAATTAATTTTTTGTTTTAAAAAAAATTACAATTTGTTTCCAATGAATTCAAATGTAACAGGTCCAGTCAAAATAAAAATAATTCTTCTCTTTGTTGCAATTAGCCAATACACAGATTATTGAGTTATTGTTGTTCAAACACTCTTAAAATTTATACTGGTTATTGTTTATCATTTGGCATGTTTCAGATCTTTTCTATTCTCTCTTAATTTTGGTTTAACCTGGAGAGATGTTATAGACAAGATGCAAGTTATGCGTAGTAAACTTGATGAAGCAATTTCTCTTATAACATGAATTCAAGGTTAAAAAATATTCAGTTCATGAGAACAATTTAAAAAATATTTTTAGACATGAAATTCATTATTTTGCAACTCTTGGAGGCATGGGTAACAAGTTTTTTTCTTAAAAGCAGGTGTTTAAATCTAGTGCAAATAAACCAACTACTAAACTGTGTTTCATTGCCTAATTCTTATAATTGAAAGCAATTTCTTTTTGTAACCTTACAAGTTAAATAAGAACAAAGTATTAGCTAAATAAAAGTATTATAAATAGCAATGAGACACTTAAAATAAATATTAAAACTTGTTTGAAAAAAAGTATTAATTATAATAATTTTCTTATATATATTTTTGTGAATGCATCACAGATTAATGTTTAGTTATTGTTAGTAAAAAGTAGAGGAATGCAAATAAAACTGAGGCCGGTTCTTCTCAAAGTATTTTTGTTCTTTTACTAAGCAATTAATTGCATGAGTATAATTTGTTAAATGAAACTGCTTTGGTAACCTGTCATTTTTACTTTAGAGTTTCCTGATAGTAATTATATATTTGTAACTGGTTTATTATATAGTTTCAGGAAGATATAAATATTTTCCTTAGTCATGAAATATGAGTATTAAATGTGGCTTATTTCCATGCTTTAAAAATCGCAAAGTTAGTGCGTGTCATATAAGTTTTTCATTACTCAAACATTGTTTCATTTTTGTGCACAATATATTCTAATCTGTGATATTTGCTCCTATGTGTTATTTCCTCAGTTTTTTACATACATAATTTTTCTAATGCGTGTTTACTGGGCTAATATTTGTATTATCTTATCAACAAAAATAAGGAACTCCTTTAATTTACATTTTGTGCGTTAGTTTTTCCTTTGAATTTCATATTTTAGGAATTAATTTTTATTGTAATCAGACATTTAATAATATTTCGTGGTACGATGCCAACTTAAAATAAGAACTCATTGTGCCACGCAAATCTGTATAAGTTTCTTTTAGATCATGCTCATTTTTTAATTTCTCTTAAAATTGAATGCATGTAATATTTTTATTTATTGACATTCATGTAATTTTAAAAATAGCTTGCTTTTAAAATCACGCAGAATAATTTTAAAGCTGTCATTAAAAGAAGTGAAGCTTTATTTTTGTTCAAATTTGCAGAAAATAATAGTAAACAAACTAGAAGAATTTGGTGCAATTACTTATAAAAGCTAATTAAGTGCATAAATTACCGGCTTGTTAGTCTTTTTTTTACAAAGATTATTCCTCTTAATTCAATTTTATCTAGTCAGATTTATTGTTTTGTTAAACACTTTTTATAAGTGGCTGACTATTTTAGTATCTCTTTCTTAAAAGAAAATGTTTGTTGCCAATATGTGTTGTAATCTTTGAGATGTGTGTGAAATACTAATATTATGACATTTTTTGGGAAGCTTAAACAATAGAAAAAGAAAACAAAAGAAATACAAATACAAAAGAAAAAACAAACTTAGTTTTTGCTCTTATTCTCTATTAATGCCAGAAAATTTTTTTCTTCTATACTTGCAAAAAATTTATTTTTTTCATCTTATAACTTTGCTATTATAATTGAAAATAGGTTTTTTTTGATTTTTAAAAATAAGACAACAGAAATTTTTTGAGTCTTTTTATTTTAATTTTATTTAAGTCTCTTGTTATGAAGTTGCGCTTAGGAATATGAATTTTCATTAAAGTTCTGTGTATTGGTATTTTAAAGTAATTTATTCTTCTCAAATAATTATTTAGTTTCAAAATGCTAAAAACAGTTCTAAAAAAGTGCTTATAACATAGAAGCATTTTTTTTTATTATGGGAACTTATAAAATTTTAATATGTGCCATATGTACTTATTTTTATTTCTCTTATGAATGTGATTATAGTTTCTGTTTAACCCTAGATAACTAAATATTTGTTTTAACTAACTACCTGTTTTTCATATACTGCAGCAAATTGCACTGTATCCACAGTACCACCAAAGTTTAATAGACTGGATTTTTCATATCTAAATTTTATTACCAGTACACATCAATTTAGATAAACAAGTTTCAATTTTCCTGTAACTTTTTATTCATTACTGTTTTTTTACTTCTTACCTTCATTTTAAACATTCTAGGTATTTAATCGATTGGAAAGCGCTAATAGCAAGGCCTGGTTTTGGTGTGCACATCTGTTTGAAAAATATAAGGTATATGTTAATACAGATCAATATTTTCAATACTAATTTACCATCTAAGCTGCAAACCTAAAGTACGCTAACTAGGTAATGCCACCTGCGAAACCAAGCACAAAGTTGCTTTCTCAAAATGAAAATAACTATCTTTTTCTAATTGACTCAGATTTTTGACCTTTAATGATAGAAAAATTTTGAAAAATGGGACCCTTTTAGCAGTTTTGTTTTTATTCATATATCCAGAACTAATTGTTCAACTTGAAAATTTTTTGTGTGCAATTTTAAATCTAGTTTGCTCTAGTTTAATTTCAAATATAAAAAGTTATTTATTATTATTTATTTCTTTAATGGTAAAACATGTAACTATAAGTAATAAAATTTTTCTCTTCATGTTATTTTTAGTCACAAAATTTTAACTAAATATGTAAAAAATTTTGAAAATTAATTCAAAGAAGCTTATTATTTTCAATTTAAAGGTTTTGTTTGTAACTGTAGAGAAACATTTTGCATTTATACACCTCATGTTTTAAAAATAACAGCTAAAATAATTGTTCAATAATTTGTTTATTGATAAAGTTTTATTACACAAAGTTTGAACAAGTTTTATAATTCCCATTTTGTGGATTAATTTTCAAAAACAGATTCAGCTACTTCATATGTGTTCGTTTCCAAACGTTTACACCACATATTTTTTTGAACGTTGCTGATTATCTTGGGAAACTGGTTATAATCTTATTGTTGCATTGTTCACCTTAGGCTGACTATGTCTTATTGGACTACTAATTATTATAAAAAGACAAAAAAAAATTATAATGAGTGATGTATAATTGTGATTTTTAAAAAAATATTTTTTGTCTATAGAACAGAAATCTTTACTCATATACATTTTATCAAGATTGAAATTGCAAATTAAAAACTTTTTCTAATTAATTACACACTAATTCTCTGTTTATTCAAGTTAAATTCTTTTTAAACAAATGTTAAAAACAAGGTTGTAAAATATGTAAATCGAGTTGTTTCTCAACTTACAAGTATTAAATATATATATAAATAATATGTATATGTGAAACATACTTAGTTAACTTACATATAAATTTAGCTTATTTCTTTTTTGGTATGAATCAGTCACAAAAAAACATTGCTTTTAGATTTAGTTTATCTAGGGTTAATGTTTATCAGTATTTATGTGTAGTATTCCGTGCATTAGCAGAACAAGCTGTTGTCCAAATTGAGGTAGAGCTGTTGTCCTTGCTAGTTATTTGCATTTTTCTGTTCTTTGCTAACATCTCTACCGTTTTGTGTTTTTCTTTTACAAACTTTTTTATGCCTATGTTTGTAATGATATTTTGTAGGCTTATTACTTATTTTACAATATTGCTATAAAATGTATATCACTATTTTGAAAGTTGTTATATTATTGTGAATTGGAGAATTTTGAATTTGCAAATGTATTAAGGCATTTTCAGACAGTGATAATTTTTATTTCCTTGTAATGTTTAACTATGCAAACTAAATGCTCTGTAGTCTGTTTCTCAACTTGTTTCAATAAAAAATGCTTTTTATCAACTTATGAACTTATGCCTGTTTATCATGCTCTCTTGGTGCCTTTGATCTTAGAATGTAAATTATTCTCTTTCAGGGAGTTATGGGTTATCTGAGAGTTATGTGACTGTCTCTTTAGGCTCATTGAAATTTATAATATGTTTATTTAAAAGTAGTGCTTAAAAGCATGAGAACTGAGTGAAAATCTAGTGGCAACGCTTTTCTTTTCTGATATTCTAATAGAAATCACAAAGAACCTCTGAGAAAAAAGACGTCATAATTTCACTCTATTTTTTATGCTAATGTTTCTATTCTAAACTTATTAATTAAATAATTTTATGATTGATTGTTCTGCCATTTTCATTCAAAGAAATAAATTTCAAATGGAACAGATCAATGATAGGATGACAACTGCGCCTTGGAATCAACGTGACCAGTAGATGAACTTCTATTGATTAGGCAGAATTTATTGTTCGATTTTAAAACAGGTTCCAATAAAAGCTCTGTGATGTGGATCTCCCATAAATCTAGAATTTAGAATCATTGTCTTTTACATATGCTTTGTGACGATTTTATGTTTAGCGCCATTAATTTTAAAAGTAACACTTGCTGATATCATTTGCATGTAACTGTTGAATAGGTATCAATTTTTACCATTCAGTCACTCATCCCTAACTCTGAAAGGTTTCTCGCGATAAACCCAATCGTCGTGTTGCTATTACTTTGCACTTTTTAATGAAATAAGAAACGCAGATTCCTTAATATCTCTCAATTCACTATTTCAATATTCATCAAGGTTTTTCTATCTAAAATTTTAGCATTTTTTAAAATTTGCCTAAGCTATGTGCTACTGCTACCAAAGGCATGTCTCTAAGGCTGCTTAGGTAATTCGGAATAAACAAGATGCGAGAGAATTGTTCAATTACTTGTTCTTTCTTAGCTAGATAAGGCTTTTATAATTTATGTACCAATTCTAGATGTCTCTTCTATTAAAGGGAGATACAATCAGTGGTGACGCCACGACGTATCTAATGAGATGAACTGTACTCCCAGACAAGATTTATAATATGACGTCGATATATTCCTTTAATAGAAAAACACATATTCGTGAAAAATAAAAATCGACGAGTGATCGTGCGATTTGTCGTAATTAGAATTGTGACTGGAGTTTTTTGCCCTTCGTCCATTGAAGATTAAGTTCATAGGTCTCCCACAATAAATTGTTTATTTATTCTCATCGAAATAAAAGGGTGGCAAATCATTGGATATATTAACAGAATACTTTAGCTTCCCCTATCAAGTTAGCTTTCACTATTTAATCTGATTGTTAGTACCATTAAGCTTACACCGTTTTTGTAGCAATTTTAAATTTGAAGGGAGAATAATCACTTTTATGCTTGAATAGTAAATGTTATGCAATACTTCTTTCATCTGATCGTATTTTTTATCTGACTTATTGGCTTATAAAAGGTGATAAAATTTTCAGTCTTAAATTGTGTCTGAACGATGCCTATAATTAAATAATGTTTTACAGCGAATAGTGCGCTGTTTCTTTTATTGAATTAGTGAGGTTGTAAAAGTAATTTATCCAAGTAGGGTTAAATTTTATCCCGTTTTAGATAGCTTTTTCTACGCACTCTGGCCTATGAATTCTT